TATCTTTATTGAGGTATTAAACAACGACAACAATAATAATAATAATAAGCCATTATCACTACATACTTATGATTTGTTTGTCTCCTGGTATATATGGATTTGATCATATATATCTAAATCAATTGACTAGATTTAGTAGTTGATTATTATTATTATTATAGTCTACCTTCAATAGTTACGATAACGTGCATCATGTAAGTCATGTATAAGTAAAGCAAAATTTCATCGACTATCATATTGTTTAACTTTAAACTGCGGTAGATATGAAGATCTTTATTATTGTTGACTGATAATAGTTTCGTTGTCAATGAACATCCAATCATCTCATTGGAAATCTTCACTGTTTATGAATGAAAATGATAAATTAGAAAACAAGATAAAATAAAAATTATGTAAATCATATCATACTGGATAATAAATCAATATTGCGAGGTAATAAAAGATGGGGGAAAAAAACGTTTTTAAACATAGAAAGGGTATTTGAGTCTTCATATGGTTAAAGCTTTAATAAGTCTTAGTAGTTACCTTTGAGTATTCCTATACAAAATTTGACTTGATATTAACTCTACAGTCAGTTTCGATAAACGGCGAGACTCTAATTTATGGACGACCTTTGAACGAGTCTTAAGTGTCCTTGAGAAATATTAGCCAATCAGCAAACAGTCAGTATAGAGTAAAATGATGTTATACAAAACCAAGGAAATAAAGTGTATTCACTTTTTATACGTGTTTCAAAAACTTGTCAAGGTTATATAGAGGTTCAGAGGTTCTAAAGTCGTAATGCATGCAGCAGAGGAAATCATTCACTCGGTTACAGAATAGTCGGCCTCTGGAGCCATGATAAAGTCTCAAAAACTCTTTCAGCCTCGACCACATAGCTTCAATATTGTTTATGTGCACTCCGGTTGTTCAGTGCACAAAATGCTACTTGGGGATAACGACACGATGCACACAACCAAGCCTATGTAGGAGTCTGTACGCTCTCCAAACATCCGTATATATTGTAGTATCTGGCTGCAGCCAGTGTTACTGGTGCTTTTATTATCCAGTCTTAATTTACCTTGGTTAGGAATTATATATATAGGGTTTTCATCACGAACTGACATAAGCTATAATGCGAAAAATCTGTTTAGTCAAATGGATGAAAGGCTTTCGCGTTAAAATCCGAGATCTGTTATCTTATACCTGATTGATTCGTCCACAAATTATAGTCTCGCCGTTTTATTTGTTATAGCCTCTCAGTTATCACGTTTTGTACAAAATTCCCTGTGAACCGAACGTACGTTAGCATTAAGCACTGAAGTTGGCGCCGTAACCTTGAAATCTCACCTCTGATTGGCTTGTCCATAAATTAGGGTCTCGCCCAATAAACTACTCTTCAATACAGTAAGATATTGTTTTGATTAGACTATTATAAGTCTTATCTTTGTAGTTCTGATGAACTTTATCTTTTTGTTGCATTGTCCAAGTTGACCAAAAGAAAGTAACTTTTTTTCAACTTATTGTTTCTGATTCATAGCTTGAGTAAATTTTGTAACTGTCATTTACTTCTCTCTTTGAAAACAGTCTCACTCCAATATGATAGAGATTCGTATTATTGTCTTTACTCATCCTTTAACTGACATGAATTTATAGTAACTTTCATACAATCAATTTTGATTGTGGTTAACATTGGTTAAACCGTTTTATTAACTTCCTTAATAGACAATGTTATTTGGATAGTAACAATCTGCATATTTTTTGTACCATTATGATCACTAGAGAGTACATGACAGACTTTAGCTAAAATGTTGATTGCTTAAACATCAGTCGATGATTCATCATCATCCTCCCCATGTATGTATGTACTCAAATCATCGTATTAGCTTTTCCTTCACCTTACCGAGTCCTTATACAATTTGACTATAAATTTGCCCATGTAATTACTTGCATATACATATTCGCCTCTCTGTTTCAAATTCGCTCGATGTGATTGTAACATTGTGATCTCTGTACCATCCCCCAATAAAATGTAGTTGCCGGACACATTCCGTCTATTCTATAATAATCTACTAACCTCTCAGACATTTTGATAAATATTGACAGCCACAACGATGTCTCTGATTGTACTTCTTTGTAGACTAATTGAAAACTAAAGAATTAAATTTTTCATTGAAATCATGAACCGATTGATGTCAGACAACCGTTGGGAACTCGGAAGCACTGGACGGCTGTTTCATCTTAGTATGGGACTGCTCAGCAATACGCACCCACGATCCTGCTCGTGAGATTCGAACCCAAGGCCTTCAGTCTTGGGCGCAAACGCTTAACCTAATAGATCACTGAGCCGGTATTCAATTGTGTTAGTGTCTAACATCAATCAATCCACGAAATTGCGCGACCATCTTCCATTGTACTGAGGTAGTGTTATGTCTCAAAGAGACAGCCGATTATATGACAGTGACTTATCGATCGGATCAAGGATTCAGAATCTCGATAGTCTATTCTGGTCGTTGTCCCCAAATCTGCTAACTCGATCAAGAAGTCTGGGTAAGGTGTACAAAGTGTATTCTACAGACAAACAGCAGATAACAAGTCAAGTCAAGCACACAAATCAAGCGTATTTATACAAATATTTACAATCGATATTGTCATGGAAGATTTTTGAACATTAATCAACAATTGACTGCTATTTGAACATTTAATCGATAGTTCATCAATTGACCTATCTGCACATTTAATCGATAAGTAAATTACAAAATTTGAGTTTTGGGGATCTATCGTCCCCAACAGGTAGATACCTGTCTCTACCTGACACGGATTAGCTCCACTGGTCACGGCTTCTCACCAGAACTTCGAGAATTTTCTCGCGAAGCTAGTCACTAGTGAACACATGTTAATTATCAGTATTAAATACGGACCAAGAAATACATATGTTGATTGTTACATAATTTTGTTGGACTTTTGTTGTCTGAGCTAAATGATCGTTTGATCGTGGAACTTTTATCATTCTTCTGAATAACATCATCAAGAAAATCTTCAGATAGAATTGAACTATTCGAATTTGTCCATATATAATTCACAGCTTATCCTGTAAACCTTAACCTTCATTCGTGACCTTGTTGATCTTATAAACCATAATCAAACTATTCAGTTGACAGAACGAAATTTCATTCAAATCATTTATCTGAACGAAAAATCATCTCTATCATCAGTTACTTAATATCAGAACCTCTTATCTATCTATCTATCTATCTATCTATCTATCTATCTATCTATCTATCTATCTATCTATCTATCTATCTATCTATCTATCTATCTATCTATCTATCTATCTATCTATCTATCTATCTATCTATCTATCTATCTATCTATCTATCTATCTATCTATCTATCTATCTATCTATCTATCTATCTATCTATCTATCTATCTATCTATCTATCTATCTATCTATCTATCTATCTATCTATCTATCTATCTATCTATCTATCTATCTATCTATCTATCTATCTATCTATCTATCTATCTATCTATCTATCTATCTATCTATCTATCTATCTATCTATCTATCTATCTATCTATCTATCTATCTATCTATCTATCTATCTATCTATCTATCTATCTATCTATCTATCTATCTATCTATCTATCTATCTATCTATCTATCTATCTATCTATCTATCTATCTATCTATCTATCTATCTATCTATCTATCTATCTATCTATCTATCTATCTATCTATCTATCTATCTATCTATCTATCTATCTATCTATCTATCTATCTATCTATCTATCTATCTATCTATCTATCTATCTATCTATCTATCTATCTATCTATCTATCTATCTATCTATCTATCTATCTATATATATATATCTATATATATATATATATATATATATATATATATATATATATATATATAATAACGTAATAAATGAAATATATATCGGCATAAGTGTATTCTTCTTTCATTAAGAGGTTAGAATAACTTGACTTGTTTTCAACACAATCACTTGATTCAATTCAAACAGATGATTCCTTTGAAAAAAATGAAAAAAAATGATAAACAATCAATCAATATACCTTTTTAAAAGTTTTGTTTCCAAGTATATCTATATTGTGTATCCAAGAGATTAGAATAGTTTAAATCTAATTAGTAACAAGTGGTTTCAGGTCATTGATTAAATTAGAATTAAATTTAAATATCTTAGATTAAATTTTCTTTTCTTTTTTTAAATTTTAATTGTTTATTTTTATTAAATGAAACTTTTTTTAGTATTTATTCATTAAATATTCAGAATGGTTGTGAATCAACAAGTTTACCATATATGAGAATTGAATTCATGAGTTAATCGAAACTAGACCATTATGAAAAACCTGAAAGCACTGGACAACCTTTTCATTCTAGTATGGGACTTCTCAGCAGTGAGCATCCAATATAATGCTTCCCGAGATTTCAAACCAGGACCGATCAGTGTCGCGCAAACTGAGCCGGTAAGCCTGCATCGAACAATGTTATTGTCTAATTTCAACCAATCCACAAAATTGAGCGACATATTCGCCATTGTCTTCAGTGAGTTACTATCTTACAACAGATACGGTTGAACTCCAATGATCACAGCATTTCACTAGAACTCCAGGAAGTTCCTCTTATATACAGTCACTAGTGAGCATATGATGATTATAAATAGAAAAAGGTTTTATGGAGATTGTAATAATTTAATAATTGAATTCATGAGTCAGTTTATGCTAGAACAACATGGAAAATCTGAAAGCACTGGACGGCCGTTTTTGAGTTCTAGTGAGAAGCCGTGACCAATGAAGTTCAACCGGGTCTGTTGTGAGATAATAAATCACTGAAGACAATGTTGGACGGTGGCTCAATTTCGTGAATTAGTTGAAGTTAGACATTAACACCGTTGAATGCCGTCCGGCTCAGTTGTCTAGAGGTTAAGCGTTCGTGCGCGAGACCAGTAGGACGTGGGTTGTGATCTCGGGAAGCATTATATTGGATGCT